AATATAAAACTGATCTTAGCCGAAGACCAGAACAATTATGTCAGCAAATGTTCCTTACAAATACTCCTTGATTAAAGAGCATGTAGTTAATATAAACTCTCTTACATTCCAGCTATATCAAGGAGTGTCTCTGCTATTCAACCCCATCCTCAACCAAATGTTACTGCTCTCAGCAGGAAAACTGGCTGGCATATTCTGGCTTGGATGGGCACCAGATCAGACACGTGAGTCACCTTTCAGTAGCAATTTGCAAGTAATGAATTAGTACTGCCTGCTTTGCAAGGGGGTGCTCACAGAGGAAAAGGTGTGTGTTTATCCCTCTGCCAGTGACAGCACTGTAATATATGAGCAACCATACAGTTCACCTTTTCTAAGATAATTATGTGTTTAAGCTTTCAAGGGAAGCAGGCAGGAGAGAACAGCATAGGAGGGAGAGTCTAAGAATTAACTGTGGGGCATTAGGTAACATTTAAACAGCACATGAGATCTGTGTGAGTGGGCTTATATCCCAGCAGTGGACGTACAGTTCTCCTCAGTTTCTTATCCTGGGAGGTGTGGGATCGCTTTGTCAAATCAAAGTCAAATTAGCTGGAGTATTTCACTTAACTACCAAAAGCTGCATTAACCTTTTCCCTCACCACAGTGGAGATGTCAGCAGTGCAGCAGTAGCTGCTGGAGGCCAAATCTTTACTGCAGTTGCCACCAGAATAGTATTAACACAGAACAAGGCCATTTCCCTGAAAAGCGAGGTTGAGATTAATGCTTAAGGCTGGAGGATTTAGGAAGCTTTACTTGTAATAGTGAGAGAAATCCCTGGAGGGAAGGTGCCTGAGAAAAGCAAACCAGAGAATTAGAGTGATTTAAGAAAAACCCCGGTCAAAAAAAACCCCAAAAAACCAACAACAAAAACACAACAACAACAACAAAAACCCCAACCCAAAATGCCACAAAAACAACCAAACAAAAACATATCCAGGCTCTCCCTGGCTCTTGGCCACATGCCATTGGACTTTCCTGAAATGACCTTGGTTTGTACTCCTGACAATAGAGCCAAGTTTCCTGGTCGAGTGCAGAGACACACAGGGATCAACAGGAACTGTCGACTCTGCAGTCTGCAGAAACGGGAAAAGGGAGACAGAAAAACAAACAGCTTCTCAGTTAACTCAAGAGCTGTCAACATCAGTCTTGGGAAGATGAGAAGATAAATTCCAGTGTTGAAACAGCACCAGAGATTTATTTAAAATCTTAGAGGGAGGCACATAAACAGCTTGAAAATGATTCAGCATAAATAACTGAGTTCAGAGAAAAAACACCTAGTTTCCTTTCTCTCCCACTCTTGATTTCGTTTTTGCAACATTCGATTTCCTTTCAGCAAACCTGCTCACTGTTATGTGTGGTGAGAATATGTCACACACTGTCTTTTAATGACACGTTCCTGGTAAAACCACATCACCACACACCAGTGAAGCTTGGGGCACATTATCTAAAGATGATTTTCTCTTCTCAGCTGTGTTAATTGTGATAACTTTAAATGGTAATAAGCAGAAATAAACTGGACAGCTGCTCCAGATGGGCAGTGCTCCTTGGGCTGCTGCTTTGCTCCCCTGCTATGGCCCACCTGGGGACCTGTGGTCCTGCTCAATGTGGTCACAAAAAGAAAAAACTTTTGTGGCTGGTCTGGTAGAGCAGATTCCTGGGGGTCTGTGCTTCCCACAGATACATTTCTTTATTTAGGGGAATCAAAACAAGAAAACGTCAGAGCTCGCTGGTGGCTTTTGAAACCACAATCGACTTCGCCCCGTTGCATAATCCTATAATTAGCAGTGGCCACCATGTGCTGTTCCCGCCAAAATGGGCTGTGATTTACACATCAGTAGCCCCCTCACACACCAGTAAGCCCCGCGAGGATGTGGGCCAGATCTGGAACTTGAGGCAATTCCCCTCTAAACACCACTGCATTACAACACTGCACTCAGATACATGAGAGGAGCACTTCAAGTACTCGGGCTCACAGGCTGGTCTATTAACCCATTTTGCACAATAAATGTCCCCTTTTTTATTGCCTTTTATCCTTCTATATTGCCTTGTATCCTTTATTACCTATTACTCCACTTTTACTACCTTTATCACTATTTTCAAATAAGACAAGGAAAATAAATGAATGCTCTCAACTCAACTATCCCACCGGTTTGTGCCCAGCTGTCCTGAAAGGAAAGAATCTCTCCCACATATGCCCAAAAGAAGGACCCATCTTTTTTTGGGGCTGCAGGGGTATAGAGACAAGCTGCCCTTTAAACTTACCTGCCTTCAGGGTGAGGAAGTGCTGCTGAGCAGGAGAGGATTGAGGTTAATTTGGTTTTCCTCACTGGAGGAAGAGTAATTTAAATAATTTGCTCAAGTATTTGATCTGTCTCCAGATTCACAAAGAAGAACAATCTGCAGGTCATACATGGCTCTGTCTAAACATTCAAAATAAATGTGCAAGGTCACACACACACAATGCCAACAGCACAAGACACCAGTATGACCTCATGGCTTAAGTTTGTGAGCACTTTGCCTGCACTGGGCACCGCTGAGCACTAAATGGGGCAGGAGCAGCACGTGGGGGTCTCAGTAAGGCCCCAGCCCCAGAATGCTGACATTCTGGAGAGACTTCCATGATTTGTGGAGCAGCTATCAGACTGTGGCTGTGAGATGCAGCCCCAGGCATCACATGCTGCAGACCACCACACCTCCTCCACGAGGGATGACACATCACACAGACATCCTCCTGACCTGTTTACCTGCCTTGCCACCTCCTAAAACCCGAAAAACTTGTTTTGGAGAAACAGTTTCTTATGTAACAGGAATGATTTTCAAAGGCCAGCTCTACCTGAACAGGGCTGAGTTATTAACAGGTGTGTTCATACAGTTGAAGAGACCCCAAACACAGAGGGTCAAGGAAATAAGCCCACATGCCACAGAGGTTATATGCCAACTGAGAGATGATGGCATATATCCTCAACCAGAAACTTCTCTGTGGCTAACCTAAGCTGCTCTGACACCAGGACACAGTCTGGCAGGGTGCACTGTGTGGTGTTGACAGTGCTGGTTTACTGTTTTGGGAAGGGCCTTGAAAAAGCTTCATCCAGCTACAGCTTTCATTTAGACATCTCACCCTGAGAAATGCACCACTGCCCCTCCCACATGCCAGCCCTGCAGCACCACTGTGCCAGTTGCCTCCTGTCAGGCATCACGGGAGCTGGGGTTCCCTACACAGGGAGAGAAATCAGCCATGTTTCAAGTGTGCCATCATTCTGGGAAATAGCAGGGAAAAGGCTGTCTGCACTGAGCTGTGAATGATTCCCCTTTTAATGGAACTTCAGAGTCACCAGCATTTCTAGACACTTGACTTCAGAGGCTCCTATGCCACAGAATGGAGCCTCTCAACATTCTCTTGTGGGTCTGTATTACACTATGACATCTTAAGTTGTGTTTTGATGGGAAAGGTAGTAATTTACTGACTTTCAGCCACAAATCAGTTCTTTGTAAATCTGCCCATCTGTGCTTTCTTTGCATCAAGAAGGTTTCATTTTCTCCTAAAAGCAAAAGTCCATGCCGTGTGTCACAACGTGAAATATCAACTCTCTCGGAGACAGGAGGCAAATAAGTGATCCACATATCACTGGCAGCTCTCCCAACATTGTGCAACAATCACAAATGCATAAGGATGACTTTGTTCCAGCTCTTGCTTCTTGCAAAAAGCACCATCTAAAAATACAGAAGGCACAGGTAAATGTGCCCTGGTATGTGTCAGCCAGAGGCATGGTATGCACGTACTGCACTGCCACAGGGAAGATCCAGCAGTGGGAGGTGGACCCAAGTTGCTGCAAGTGGTACATGACTATAGGCTAGCTTGTTTCCCCTTGGTTGGTTTGAGGGCAAGGTCACCATCACTTCGAATAGAAAGAAGGTTTAGAGAATTGGGGTTGCTCAGCCTGGTTGAAAGGGGGCTCTGGGGATTCTTTATGGCAGCTTTCCAGTACCTGAAGGAGACCTATAAAAAAGACTGGGACAGACATTTGAGAAGGGCCTTTTGCAATAGGACAAAGAGTAATGATTTAAACTAGAGGTGCATTGATTAGAATAGCTATAAGGAAGAATTTTTTATTTGTGTGGTGAAGTACTGGCACAGGTTGTGCCTCTTCAGAGAGGTGGTGGATGTTCCTGGGGCTTCGGGCAACCTGATCTAGTTGAAGATCTTTCTGTCTTTGTGGCTACAAGCAGCAAAATACAGGGGGGCTGGTCTCAATAACCTTTAAGAAGTCCCTTACAAATCAAACTATTCTACGCTTCTGTGATAATAACACACCCTATCCATTTGTTCTGCTTATCCAAGCACTCTCCATCCCTCCACCATTCTTCCTCAACATCATCATTGGAACTCTTTCCACCTTTCCTGGACCACCACCACCACCACAAGCCCAGCCCACCCTCCCATCTCTCTTTGCCTAGAGCAATCCCACCTCGCTGCTCTGCCTCTTCTTGCCCAGATGATGCAAACCCCCCCGTTCATCTCCCCTGACCCACCACAAGCCCACCTCACCCTCCATTCCTCAGCACACCTCCACCTCGCCTGCCCAGCACACAGCCCATCCTCCCATCCCTCCTGCCGCGCACACCGCATCCCTCCAGCCCTCTCCGGAAGCGTAGGCGGTGTCCCCGTTCCGGCCCCGCTCTGCCCGGGCACGCCGCCGCCTGCCCGCCGGGGGGGCGGAATCCCCGCGCCTTTTCGCTACGTCACCGCTGAGGGAAATCCCCGCTGGACTTCCAGCTTTTAGCGCCCCGCTCGGCTCCCGTGCCGGCAGTACGCGACTGCCTCCGACCCGAGCACATCGTGGGAGCCCCGTGCCCTGAACAGAGTCTGAGCTCTCTGTGCCCCGTCGAGCACAGACATTCCGTGCCCTGTCGAACCGAGCCCGGGCTCTCCGCGCCCCGCCGAGTCTCTCCCCGCCGCCGCGATGATGCCTGGCCGGTCTCTGCGCAAAACCACGCCGCCAGCCGCTCCTACAGGTACCGGAGGGGGAAGGGAAAGGGGGGAACGGGACGGCACAAGGATGGGACAGGGATGGGACAGGGATACACCGTCCTGCGCCCAGGTGCTGCTGCCCGGCTCCAGCACCGCGCAGGCGGCCAGCGCCGGACGCGGCTGCGAACCCCCGTGTGCAGGCGAGAGGAACACAGCTGCTGCTCCCAGCGAGTGGGGGGCAGAAAGGGCGCGGGGTGGGGTGTGCTTCACGAGGAGGAAAAAGTATGAAAATTGGACTAAAAGTACGATACTGTGGGGATCTTATTAAAGCGGTAACGACGCGCTTTTCAGCAGGACGGGAGGCGGCGGCGGCGGAGTGCGCCCTGGAACTGGCTCGCATCGGCGACAGATTGAACCTGCGGCAGAGGCTTCTCAACCTGTTCTCCAAGCTGTTCTCGCCGAACCCCGAAACGCGGGCTGCCCGCGGACACGGCGAGCGGAACAGAGGAAGACCTTGGCTTTGTGGATTTGGAAGAAAAGGCTCCACAGACAGTGGGAGATGAAGAGACCTCAAATCTCGCTGCGTTGTATTTTTAGCTGCCCGGAGCCGCTGGAAGATGGCTATCACATGATTTCTCTGAAGAATGTTACAGCAATACTGGCGTATGAATGCCATGTGGGAAAAAAAGATAACGATGGGCAGAGTCCCTAAACTGTGCAGTGGTGACTTGTGGTAAGCTGGTGACATGGGGAGATTTGGGGCAAGACTGAACTTGCCCTTCACCGTGGTCTGAGAACACTTTCAGGAACCCGAGCTCCCCAGTCACCTTCTGCTCCTCATGTCCCACTGCCATGTTTCACCGAGGAGTTCAGCCCTCCTCCAGGATGAAGCCAAAAAAAGTGCTAGTGTTTTGGAACTTGGGATCACATACCACAAAGGAAAAGCCAGTTGCTGGATTTTTGACTGCTCCTCTTTTCTGAACTACGGAATTCTGCTGGACGGCGATCTGGAATTAAAATTTGTTAAAGACAACCACTATCTCCATTGAAAGATTATTTGTTATAGGATGTTGTTTCGCAGACTAAAAGTTATTCTAAGAATTAACACAGTGTTTCATAGCTCTAGTCTATATTATAAATATATAGTATAAGTTTATATATAGTAAGTATACATAAAATATGAATATGTGCACTGATAGTGCATGTCATGAGAATTTAACAGAACTATTAATTGAAAGCTGTTCGTTTAATCTCAAAACACAGTGTGAAAAAATGTTCAAAATCCGACAAAACTCAATATAGAAAGGTATTATATAAACAAAAAAGGCACAATATTTTCTGATGATACAGGAAATAAATCATGCTTCAGAGATAGAAGCATATTTTGGCATTATATAAGATACATATATGAATACATATTACATAAACACAGATATTGAGGTAATTGTGGAAGGATTCCTTCAATATTACAAAGAATTTCTTGATAACAGTACAATTCTGCTGTGTCCTTATAAGTCCTTAAAATAACTTCAATAGAAGTAGATTTTAAAGTTGAGTCTCAAGTTTTGCTGAGAATGTTATTTATTCAAAGAAAGCATCTACCTCTCTTTGAAGAAATAATATCAATAGAATTGAGCATCACAGTGGTACAAGAAAGTAGCCTTAGATGTTTGAATGTTTAATTATACTTACGGGAAAAGGCTGTTCCCTTGTACTTTATTTCCACTTCATTTCATGGCCTCCTTGTTTCAGTTCCAGAATGGTGGAGCTGCTGCAGCACATCCACTGGATGGTGATGCATGGTTGCCACTGAGGGGTTACATGGGAATGACCCATCTCACTGCGGGGATATTACCTTTGGCTGGCTTCCGAGGAGCTCAGCTAAACATCTTGATTGCTGACAAGGCAAACAGTAAGTTTGCCAGTCATTTCATGTCAGGTCCATCCTAAACAGTATTTTTCACGGGTCCAAGATAGCAAGAATAGGGCTGAAGCTGTTTCATAGCTACCTCTAAAGTCACTGGTCAGAGTTCCTTCTCTTAACTTGTATATAAGTGCATTTGCATTTTATAAGGCTGTATAGTTACACTTTAGTATTTGTGTCTATTCAAATTATGTCTTCTCCTGTCTTGTAGTGAATTCTTGTTTGTATTTATAATTTATTTTTCTGTTATCTCTTCTTAATCTGCCTTTGCAAGACTGTAATTATATAACTCTGGTCACTCTCATAAACAGCTGTGCAGGGGCTGTTACCTATTGACACTGACTTCTGTCACTGAGCAGAAGCTGACTGACTTTGCCTCCTTTCCACGTGGAAGACTTAACCCCATCCATCCCGGTGGTGTTACAGGGAGCTCTGCTGTTGTCTTGAGCCACGTGCATGTTTCTCTTCCCCTCTAACCTTGCCAGTACCTTTTCAGGGAGAACATGATGTTTCAAGAACAGTTGTTATTTATCTTACTACTGCAAAGCAGTGCATTTTGCTGACATGTACATAGGTCAGTTTTTCAGGTACTGAAAAATAAATGCAAAGGCTTTCAGACCAGCAGAACACCAGCTCCCAGGCTAGCTCTGCATCCAGCTGGGCAAATCTACATCAGAGGCAGCTTCAGCTTCATAAGAAGAGTTGCTGTTGTATATCCTGCGCTTGGTGGAGTCTTGGAATCTTCAAGGACACTGAACAATGAACAATGACCACACCTGTCTGGAACTCTCAGAAGAATTCAGCATTAGCATTCACATTAGTAGCTGAAAAGTATGTGAATAAAACCGTTCTGTTCAATTAATGCTGCTTACAAAGTCAACAGGAGACGATTTGTGGATTTGCAGAGCCCACCCAGTTCTTCAGTCTGTAGCGCATATGAATATTACAAAAAAAAGTATATTCATAAATGCATTGTCATGGGGATATCCAAGTTTAGTGTTAGCACAGTATTTGTCTGCCTACTTATGCAAGGACTACTTGCTTTTTATGAAATGTTTTAGGTGTTTCTGTGCATTGTTAAGAATGGTAGTGTTCAACGAGTACTCAGGAAAAAGGCATAGACGCAAGAGGTCAGTGCCAGTATATGACCAAGCGCTTGCTGATGTCCACCCTAGATTTCTTTTGTTAGTTCTGCAAAGGATCTGCTTTATGACTTTATCAACATGAGTTTGTTTTCCTTAAGGCCTGTTCTGGATGTGTGCCAGGTGTGTTGCTGTATGCCTCATGCATGTATGTCTTGAATTTGTGCTAAGATAATAAACACAAAGTGTTTACGAGAAAAATGAGTCACGAAGGTTGCTATAACTCAGGTTTTCTTTTGTGGATTGTGAAAGCATGTTTGTGTTATGCAAATTCCTTCCATGCTTCCATGTCAGCAGGGCAAAAGCACCAGGGCAAGAGCAGAGTGCCAGCAGGTGGGAGATGAGGCTTTGCCTTCTGCCTTTAAGAGGAACAAAACAGAAACCTGATCCTGAACTTCAAAATAAAACACCTATTCTAGTATTTTTTGTTAACTACTGGCTGCAGAATATTTGGGTGGTATTGGGGGCCCATTACTTCTACCAGAGTAGCTGCAGCTTTGTAAAGGAGCATTCCTTGTAAAGGATAGACATCCAAGTTAAGGGTTTGTCTAAGATGCAGGCAGAAAGGGATACAGCGTTTTGTCAGGCTGTTTTTTCACCTTCTCCAAAATTCGAAGCTGGAGACTGGGAAGAGTGGGAAATGTAGCTGCTTATCACAAGGGAATAGCAGAGGGATAGTGCAGAGCACATTCTTCTTCCCTAAAGCTGTGGCCCAAAGATGTGTCCGTGCAGAGGAGACCCTGAGGTCCTCCCCTGCTATGCCAAGCACAGCAGCAGGATCCCTGCTCAGTCACTGTGCTGCTTTTCCCCAGCTTCACAGGCAAGGAGCACCATCCCAGTAGCTCATTATTTCCAGTGCAAGGAGGACTAAGAACTTCTGGGCCAAAGGCTCTTTTTTCTAGTAACCAGGAAAAAAACCCAAAGAGACATAACTCCCCGTTCTTTCCCACTTAATCACCAGCAGAAGCCTGGAAGAATTTTATTTTGGAGGGCATCAGTGAAGTGGTCCTGAGAAGGCTCATCAGCCTGGTGAAATGTGCCACTGTAGGTGCTGCACAGAAGTCTACAAAGATTCACCAGCAAATCATACTTGTGTGACTCCTCAGACTTGTGAAAACATTCAGACACTCTCACCTGCTTCCCACTGGAGTCTGGCCCCTCTCCAGCCCTCCAGAGCAGTATCCAGTCACCTACATAGCATGACGCTTGTCCTACTCCTCCCTAAAGGAGGGCAGGGGGGAAAAAAAGTCCTATCACTGGGGCATGGCATTGCAATCTGAATGCATTTGACTCATCCACAAGCATCTGATATCAAAAAAAACAAAACAAACTCACCTGACAAAGCAAACTGACAGAGTTGCCACCCTAGAATGCTCTCCATCCACCAAAGTACCTGGCTGGCCAAGTGCAGCCCTGGGTCGTGTTTGCACCGTGGTCCCCTAGGTGAAAACCAGCCTGGCCCCCTTGGCCAGCTCATGCCTTCATACCTGAGACTCGATGCACAAGTGGTATTTCCCAAACAAAGGGCCAGACAAGCAGATACTTCCTCTTACCCTCATGGGATGTTTTTATAAATCATCTGAAAAACAATGTCTCATATGCTGCTCATTATATTTTTAGCACATGCTGCTGGATGGGACTAAGTTTTATCACTTTCCTCCCATTAACACAAGAGGGTGTGAGGGCATGATGTGCATCCATGGAGGCATAAGGAGGCCGGACAGGAAGGGCTGGGGATATGATGAGTTGCCTTTCAGTCTGGCAGAATTTCCCCCGAAGCAGGTGACTGACTGATGGTGGGACTGTCAGTGAGCAATAGTCCCAAAAGCTGTTACAGCTGTAAACAAGGGTCCTCACCCAAGTGCGTCAGGACACTGTCTGGCCCGTGTAATTAATGGGCCACACCAAGGCTGCCCTGCCTTCTCACGCATGGGCTCTTTGCAGTGCCAATTCTCACCAGCCCTCTGAAAGCATGGAGGTGGGTGTCATTCCTTCAGCAGCAGGAGATACCCCATAAAATGGCAGTGACCACAAATAAGAGAGTTCAGCCATTTCATCTTTGGTGGCTCTGGTGTCATTCCCTCATCCCCATGAAAGGATGGTTGGAGCACCATGAGGTTCAGAGGCTCAGCTCCTCTATGACATGGTCACCACCTGAAGGCCCAAGGAACCTTTTTGTAGTGGACAGGCCAGCTTGCAAATGTGAGAAAAACAATTGCTTGCAGCAACACCCCTGAATAAGGCCAATAATAGGATGCTGGGACTTCCTCCCTCAGCTCCTGGGTCCCAGCTGGGATCACAGTCCCCTGCTGTGGCATGGCAGAAATTAAGGGCAGCAATCTGCTTCCACTTTCCCCTTTGCGCTCCTGACAGGGATGTGACAAAGCCACAACAAAGGCAGGAGGCCACAGTCATGTCTGCCCTGCTTGGGATCAGGAATTAGGGAGGCAATTTTTGACAAGAGCAGCTGGACACTGAACACTCCCCAGCATCACCATAGCACATCAAGGAAATGGCTTTGGTATGTAGGGAAAAAAATCCAAGGAATTTCAGCACCAGGTAACTTGTTTGCTTAGTGCAACGGTATCAGACTGATTCAGTCACACAAAGGGGTGAGGCCAGCACATATGGAACTACCAGTGGAAAGGCAGGAAATTCTGCATTTAATATTGACTAACTTCAGAAAATACCCTGACTGACACAAAATATCCTCCTAGTCAACAGCTTTACACTCTATGGGATGGAAGGGTAACTCCTTGCTTTAGGAAATTATGTTTATTTGCATCAAATGTTCTTTCATGTGATCATTTAAATTGAGGGTTTTTTTAAAGGAAAACAACTTAATTATTGCTGGGTCAAGTGCTTTACTGAACACAGCTACATGAAAGAGGAAGTCATGACTGGCTTTCCTTATAAACAGAGTCCAAAACGGGCTTTACTAAAGGCTGATGGACACAGTCTGGTTTC